TTTTTTTTTTTTTTTTTTTTGCGTACCACAAAGCTCCAATTTCCCCCATGACCTGCAGAAACTTCAAGTTCAGCAGCAGTCAAGGCCCTTATGAGCGGCCTTGGCCAGGCTCAGCGTCCACCCTGTTACCTGCATACAAGGCTTCCCCATGGGGCGCTCTGCATGCCGGGACATACCTGTATACACAAGCCCAGTTTGCATGCTGCCTGCCCATCCCCAGTAACCTTATCATAGTTCTCATAACACAAGTTCCACGTCAAACACAGGGGTAGAACTAAGGAAGTCTTGCGCACAGAACTCCAGATTTTCAGGCAGCAAGTCTTCCCTGCCTGAACCCAGTGAGCTATTTCTTTCCAGGGCTCGATCTTTGGAGGTAGGTAAAACTCCCTCGGCTTTGCATAAACACAAGTTACATACTTGTGCATTCCCAGATTCCTTCTCAATCCATCGTGAGCTTTTTGACAGCAAAAAAGGAGGCATAGTTTACATTTGCACTTTATTATATTGCAGTTAAATGAACAGAGCAGTGTTAAAGTCATTGCAGTCTTCTTGGCCGCTAAGAGGTTCAAACAGAGCTGTCACTGGTTAATACTCTGAACAAGGCACTAGGAGACGAGTGTCATGGTTAAAATGTCATTAGTAAAATGTGAGAAGTTTAGACAGAGCGTGCGAAGTTCCATGAAGGCAAGCTTGGTAGAAAGTTACACCGGAGAAAAGTGGTAGAAAGTTGCTCAGAGTAACACACTTGTCATCATTTGGGGACAGCTATGGACGGAGTCAGGAGTCAGTAATGGGTCTCCGCTGCCCCAGCCGTCTCTAGCCCAGATATCACCCCAACGGTGAGCAGAGGTGGTGGTGAGTACATCTGGAAAAGCTGAGCCAAACTGCAATGAATGGACAAAACATGGTCTGCTTCTATTATATTGCTCATACCCAGGTATAAGGGGTTCAGCTACAGACAAAGTCCCTTTGGGGGAGGGGGGAGGTTATATTTCAGTGTGAGCACAGGAAACATGAGTGAAATGCATTACTCAGTCATCCCCCGTGATTAGGTGCGAACTGATCACCCCCATTTTGAAACCAAGGAAATACTCACAGGGTTCGCTTGGCCTAAAGCATGTACAGTCAGAACCACGGGGCCTCCCATGTGGGTGCCTGGCAATCTCCAAAGCCCAGATAATGGCAGCAGCTAATCCAGTCTGCACCTAGCAACGTTCTGACTTTCCCATTCTGTGGGGGTCGAGATCGAAGGGGTCACATCTGGGCTGGCCCAGGGTTGGGGGCGGGGGGGCGCTGCTCCCACTGAGTCGTCCAGGTCAAGCCTCCTCCCACCCACCCACCCACCCCGCCCCCACAGGGTGCTAAGCCTGTGTTTGTCTCTTGTAGGCTGCTCCAAGGTGACCTGCATCAGCCTGACCCGCGAGGCCTCCATTAAACTGTCCCCCTTGCATGGCAAACAGATTTCCATCCGCTACCTGGACATGACGGACTGCTTCGTGCTGGAGGATGAAGGGTTGCACACCATCGCGGCTCACTGCACCCAGCTCACGCACCTGTACCTGCGGCGCTGCGTGCGCCTCACGGACGAGGGCCTGCGCTACCTGATGATCTACTGCCCCTCCATCAAGGAGCTGAGCGTCAGCGACTGCCGCTTCGTCAGCGACTTCGGCCTGCGGGAGATCGCCAAGCTGGAGTCGCGCCTGCGGTACCTCAGCATCGCGCACTGTGGCCGGGTCACCGACGTGGGCCTGCGCTACGTCGCCAAGTACTGCAGCAAGCTGCGCTACCTCAACGCGAGGGGCTGTGAGGGCATCACGGACCACGGCGTGGAGTACCTGGCCAAGAACTGCACCAAGCTCAAGTCTCTGGACATCGGCAAGTGCCCGCTGGTCTCCGACACGGGCCTGGAGTGCCTGGCCCTGAACTGCTTCAATCTCAAGCGGCTCAGCCTCAAGTCCTGCGAGAGCATCACGGGCCACGGCTTGCAGATCGTGGCCGCCAACTGCTTTGACCTCCAGATGCTCAACGTGCAGGACTGCGAGGTGTCGGTGGAAGCGCTGCGCTTCGTGAAACGCCATTGCCGGCGCTGCGTCATCGAGCACACCAACCCAGCCTTCTTCTGACCCGACGGCGGGCGCCGGTCTCCTACAGACGCGAACAAACAAGGTGGTTTTGTTACTTCAAGCAGCTATGTAAGCACCGACACCCACCCGTGCAGCTTTCCCTCCAGGAAGGCTCTGGGGAAGCTGAATTTGCTTTTTCCTTATTTCTTACGGGCAACAGGTCAAGGGAGGGAGGGAAAGGGCAGATTTGGAGCACGGTCTATGGTTTCTTTGGGCCTAGTGGGGTTTTCTTCTGGCCAGGCCCTTGGTAGGCCTTTCCTGGGCTCACGAGAAGGGCACCTTAGCAGACGTGTCACTGTGTTTAGAAACGCCACTGCCTCCACGTTCTGCCTGTCCACCTCTCCGTGCTCTCTGCCTTTATCCCCCTCCTCTCCCGCCTCCCTGACAAAGCAACAACAAATCCTCAGAGTAATACTGTTCTCCACACCTCCTCTTGAACCTTGATTGGCCTAAACCATGTTCCAAAAGCTCACACCCAAGCCAGTTCCCATTACTAAGTAGCACAGCACTTAGCAAAAGCAAAATAGTGCAGCCCCTCTGGATCACTGGCATCCAGCAGCTAGGAAGAGAATAACGGCATTCCCCCACCCCCAAAACTAGCTGTGCATCCTTGGGCCAAACACTGGGCCTCTCTGGGCTTCCCTGCACTGCAGCAGAGGCCAGCCAGCTCAAGGAGGAGCTTCATGCCCACTTTAGTCCTGAGGGAACCGAGAGCAGAAGCGGCCCTGGCAGAGAGCCCAACAGGCATCTACCTCCTCTAAGAGCGCCGATCCTACAGACACCTGTGGAGACAGGACCTGACCGCCTGTGCCCGTCTGCACAGCACCCACCTGTTTGGGTGGTGAGTGTCCTAGGGGTTTTCCTCCAGCCCGAATGGGCTCTGTGCACGGGACCGTCAGCATCACCCCACCCCTCTCTCCCTACCCCAGGTCATCACAACCTAGGTGATGGAATCACAGTGAAGCACCTTCCCCCCACCCCACCCCGGTCACCTTGACTGTGTTTGCAAATCGAGGGAAAGGTCCTCACCACCTTTAGTTAACAAGCACAGTCCCAGGAGACACGTGTGCTCTCAGTGTTCCGAAGCCCTCATACACATGTGGCAGGCACAGGCACATCTGCCCTGCAGCTGCAAGGATGGGCGCCTGGGTTCTTTGTCACTCACACCCCGTGTCTCCTCTCCTCTATCTTGCGTGGCCTTTCCAGACTTCATCACGTGAAGCCTGCTGAAGTGGACTCCTAAGTGTTTAATTGTGTTGTCTCCCCTGTGGCCATCTGCATGTCCTCTGTCAGGGGAGGCAAAGCAGACTTCCAGGTGTTTAAACACTATTCGCTCAAAAATGCCAGACCAGGAGAGGGAACACACCAGCAAGACTTAGACACCCACCTGCCAGGTTCCTAAACAGGAGGTTGAAATCCTGGCTACAGATGAGGTTTAAATAGGCCTCCTGGGCTAGAAATTCCTTCGCTCACCTCCTCATTCGTGACCAGAAGAAACGCCAATGCTCGCTTTCACAGAATTGAGTTGCCTGGTTGGTAAACACAGGACTCAACCCAAATTATTCTCTGCCTAGCTGCCTAGCTGTCCTACGCTGTGCAAATGGTCTACCCATTCCCTTCCCAGAGGGCACCGGCCCTGCCCAGCCCCACCCCTCAACCTCCCCAGCCTCGCACTTGGCGATGGTTCAGAGCAAGCCTCCACACCGCACAACAACTGCACTCCTGCTCCCAACGCTCTTTCCTTAGTCTTCTGTGGGAAAGGAGGAGCGAGAGTGAGGCAGCACCTGCCCGGAAGGGCTCCTTCCTGTGTCCCGTGACTCGGCAGGACTCTGTGCCCGGAAGTGAGTGGTTTGGCTGAGGCACCTCTCGCCCTTCTGCTGTACAAGGCAGAGTCTGAACCACGACGGGGCTTAAAGGTCACACGCCCCTGCTCCTTGACCTGTGCCCCACCTAAAGTTTCAGAATGTGAGGGTCACAAAGGTTGTCCCTACCTGTTGGCCCTGGACTCTCCTCCAGCTGAGTTGCTTTCATGCTCCCAGAATGAGTGGGAACCCCAAAATGGTTCCCTGAATCAGAGGGGTGCCCCCTGGGAATATCTTCATTACCACCACCTGACTCATCAAACTGTCTTCCGAACATGAGACAAAGTCGACTTCCACGCTGGTTGCCGAGAACCTACTGTCTTTCTCAGTTTCCCCCCTTTTCCCAATCTTCATTCATTCTGAGTCCCCTTGGGGTTGCACTCTATGACAGCATTACTGGGGAAACAGATCAGCAGATTTTTAGAATCTCGAGCAAGAGGACTCACTAGGAAATTTGTCCTAAAACATTGCTTCCTTCCTGTCACTGTTAAATTGAATGCTCATTGTTTTGTTTTGTTTTGTTTTTAAATCCTAATGTTCAAATCACAGCGTGCTGTATGATTCTAGAAAGCCTTAATTGACTACCGCCAAGAAATAAAGCAATACGTTGGTAACCAGGCTGCGTGTCATTTTATGCCCAGGCCAGGGAGCGCCTCCGAAGGAGGCTTCCACGACAAAGCAAGAAACCTGCCCTCAGTTCAGTGGCGTTTCTGCAGTTGTCGGCATCCTGTGTTTTGTCATTTCCTTTTGACTTTGGCTTAGAGTTAAGTGTAAGTGAAAGAGCACTACATTTTAGTTTAGGTCTTCGATTTCATAACACAAACTCTTGAGTCAGATGTATTTTGAAATCCACCATTGTTCTAGATTAGGAAGTTCTCTGTGGGGTATCTGCAACACCCCTCCCAGAGTCTGGGACAGCACCTTTAATCCTGCTTAACAATTCTGTGGTGACAGAGCTGAACAGTCACCTTCCAGAATAGTATTACAAACTATAAAGAGCCTTGTTTCACTCAGATTAGATGTGGCCATCAAAGTCATTTGTGCCAAACATGCTTTTAAAATAAATAACTTCTATTTTTTTTTTCCTGAATTTTCTGGATTTCAGAGTTGTGGATAAGTAGCCAGAGACATGAATATACTTCACTGGCCTCTGGCTACAGCATTGGAAAAAACTTTCAAAATTATCATGGCCAATCTTCATAAATTTATTTTAATCCTTGAACATTAAAGTTTGCTTGGAAAGAAGGCAACTTTCTAAAGGAAAAATTATTTGAGTTGGAAAAAAATGAAATCCCAAATCTCTACAAACGCAAAGCCTTTGATGTGAGGAAATGAAGGAAACACGGCTGGAGGGTGGCAGATGAGGTGGGAGAGATGTGGGGGGGAAGGGTCGGGGAGGGGAGGGTTGTGGGGGGAGGGACAAGAGGTGTAGGAAATACTGATTCTAAATGCCTGTCACTTTCACGACACTCACATACACAAACAGGGCTGGGAACTGCTTTGGAACCATAATTTGAGGTGACCATGTCAAAAACCCCGAATAAGGCCACAGAAATTAAAACCCACTTGAGCCTTCCCTGGTGGCTCAACCAGTTAAAATGCAGCACCATGAAGTTCACCTTAGCAGCTTCATGGGGAGCTCCATCCCCCGGTCACTGAGCAGACCCCTCTGACGCACCCGCTGCTCCCCTCAGCAGTGTACTTCCTCAATCTGCCTGTTCTGTTCCCCGCTCTGCCTCTGCTGAATCCTCTCACCACCCCTGCACCTCTGGTCTATACCCCAGTTCTGTGTGCATAAATCAATCAATCTTTAAAAAAAAAGAAATTAAAACCCACTTGCCCTTGAAATTCATGATTTCTGACACCAACATTTGCTCAAAAGCCGCTAGGCAATTAGATTGCATGTGCACACAACAAGCCCAGAGAGAGAGAGTTTTGTAAGGTGAAAAGCAATACAATAAAATTGCTTACCAGGCCTGAAGGTGCTGTCACTAGGAGCTGAGCACTTGTTCAATACCTCGCAATCATGATTAGTCAAAAAGAACTTAACTTGAGAAGCTGCTGAGTGGGGAGAAGCGGGAGAAAGGATACTTAGAGACAAGGCGAATAGTGCAGTGAGCTTACTCACGGCGAACAGCTGGGCACAGAACCGGCTTTCTCGCACGCCTGGCCAGGGCTGTCTCCACGCAGACCCTGGCAGTGGCCTCTCATGTTTCCAGAAAGAAGTGTGGGGTGAGCCCAGATCTCATGGATGCTGCCGCTTCCATCTGCAGGGGTGTGGATACCACCACTGAGGCTTCTCAAAGAGCAGCACAAACTAATTATTAGGGTGGCCTCCTGGTGGGCAAAGCTGTTCACACAGGAATATCCTCCTCACAGACACCCAGGTTGGGGCATACAGCCAGGGGCGACGTTTTCCTCTTCTCCTTTGAGTGTGCATTATCTCCTCAAGCCACACACCTGCTTTGTAGAAACGTTCCTTTCTTCCCAAGTCAGCAGAACAGCATTTTAAACCTGGTGGGATGAAGGAACATCTTTTGGTAGCTGGGTGTGGACGACTCATGCCCATCAACAGTGTCGAGGCGCCATCTTGGCGGCACTGACCAGGGAGTGTGTGCAGCTAGACGTGGGCCTTGTGATCCACCCAGGAGACCAACAGCCACTAAATGGTTGCTCAGGTGTTAGCCATCAGCATCTCCCATGCATCAAAGGATGGTCTCGAAGGATCATTTTTAAATGATCCTTTGGCCTAAATATTTACAAACCGAGCCACTTCTAAGCTGTAGAATATTTCTCTTTCTAACCACTCAGCTACTGAAGTTGACACTGATGAGGTCAGTGTGTCTGAAATCTAGCCTGACCCATGTGATGGCCAGCACAGAATGGGTACTGGGAACAGGGATCAGCCTTCAGGAGCCAAAATGCCCAGGGAGTAACAACCATTTAATTCCACAGGAGCAGCTGGTTTTTAACAACCCTCAGCTTTTTAACAAGGATTTATTGGCCAGGTCCTGTGATAAGATCCAGGTGAATTAGATTCACCCTGCCCCTAAAGGAACTCAGACTATCAGAGCATATTGGGGATTGGAGAGAAGAGAAGGGATGATGAAGGAAAATGGCAAATCGCATTTATTCATTCATTCATCGAGTGTTCACTAAGAGCCTATATGTGCCTGGCAGGTTGATGGCACCTGGCGTTTTGCAACTGATGGGGTTGACCAAAGCATTACTGTTCTCCGCTAGATGTGGGGCTCTTCTCAGAGGAGAAACCCTTGGAGCTGAATTTTTCACATCAAAACGGGCAGTAACCAGCTATCAGATCTGGCAGCATCTGAAGCAGCCTTGGGAGCCCACTTGGAGGCAACACTCACTAGGGTTAACAGAGCAGCGTGTCCCTGCTCCTGGCGCGTGACGCTTGCACTCTCAGTCGGTTACTTTCTCCTTGCCTGGTGAGTTTCTGCAGAGATGGCTCTGTTGTGTTGCTCCAGTGTCACCGCATAGATGAATCCTGTGTGCCCACTCTCTCAGGTGCACAATCTCACTTTCAAAGACGGGCTCATCCTATAAAAGCAACAGCAAAACAATTTCTAGAACAAACCCTAAGAACTTCAAAGAGACTCAACAATCCCCCAAGCGGCAAGAGCAGTAAGAGTACAGACAGCCCCCACCTGTCAGCCTGCCATAGGGTCCACCAAGCAGGTAGCTCGGGGAGAGGGGGAGAGGAGCTTCCTCCTTCAGGAAAGCTTGATTTTGTTCAGCACACCAGGCGCTTCGTCAAAGCCATGGTTCTGTGCTTAGGAGCAACAGACAGAATAGCCGAGCGGTCTGGAGAGTCCACGTGCCTCTGCTGGAAAGGGGTCGTGGCAGCAGCAATTTGAAATGTCACTGGGTAGCTCCAGTAAGATTAAGTAGCCTTTTTTTTTTTTAAAGATTTTTTATTTATTTGTGCATACAGAACTGGGGTACAGGCCAGACTCAGGGGCGGTGAGAGGCTTCACCAGAGACAGAGCGGGGAGCAGAACAGGCAGATGGACGAAGTACACTGCTGAGGAGAGCAGCGGGCGGGTCAGGAGAGGTCTGCCGCGCCATGTGGCCACCTCTGGGGCAGGCGGGGATGAACTCATGCGAAGTGGCTTTAGCTTCTCAGTGCTGTGCTTTAAGCCGCTGCGCCACCAGGGAGGGCCTAAGTAGCCTTTCAAATGGCCAAGCAATAGATTTGACCTGTAAACTCACTGAGGCTGGGCTCCTCGAAACTTGCATTGTATCCGGGCTTTGAATGTGAAGTGACCTGCCACACTAACACCAACTAAACAACGAAAGCCATGAGGAGGGTCCTGAGGGAAGCCTTCCCCCCTCTCACTGCAGTGGGGGGGGGCAACAGTCCTCTGGGATCCTTCAGAGCCCGACGTGCCCCCAAGTCTGAGCGGTTTCATAAGCCCATTTCCAGATAGCAAAAGATGCAGGGGGAGAGGATTCCAGTGACAAAGATTAAACATTCGTGGTGTTCCCTCTCGCGCCAGCCCCACCGAGCACTAATGAACACAGCCGCCCTCTATAAATAAAGCCTTAATGAAAAGAGCCTTCCAGGTTTTCACATCATGAATGTATTCTTCGTGGGTGTTTACATTTAGACTTTAAACAAACCTATCACGGTCTTTTTCATTTATGGGGAAGCAGATAAAGGGACAAAGCTGTCAGGGCTGATAAATCGCCTTGTCCATTTTATCGCAAAGCCTTTCTTTTGGAAATGGGAACCCGAGTCGACGTGATTATCTTTGTATAATTTCATACTTTTCATTCTTCCAGAATTAGTACACACATGCATTGGCTTTCGGCTGCACGGAGCTCCTTTTGCAATGCCACCCTGCAATCATGGAGACGTGCTGGTTTTCCATGGCCCCTTGCCACTTAGTAAAGCCTCTACAGACATCAATTTGCCTCAGCGGTCTTGACAGTAGAAGAACCAGAGAGCGAGCCTAAATCATTTCCCTAGTTCTTGCTGCCTCCGTGGAGGCCAGTGAGAGGTGTGTGGCCTGAGGGCCCAGGTGAAGGCTTACCTGGAGCTACTCAGCTCTGCCGCTTCAGCTGGCTCTTCTCTACCATCACGACTTTAAAGGACAGTGGTGAGGGAAGCTCTGGGGAACTGGCGAGCCAAAGGCTAAGGGTTTAAAGAAAAATCAGACAGAGAAACAGTCAAGAAGGACCTGTCACTCACGTAATGAAAACCAGGCTCTCGCGGGCTCTCCAGGCTCGCAGTGCTTCCCCAGTGTGGCCCCAGAGCCCTGCGTGTCTCTTAAGAAAAGGATACTCGCGTGCCTTTTGCAGCAACATGGATGGAGCTGGAAGGGATCATGCTTCGTGAAATAGCCAGAAAGAAAAGGAAAACGCCAAAGGTTTCACTCATAGCAGGAGCATAAAGGACTGGGGGGTGGGGGGAGGGGGAAGAACAGCTATATACCAGAGACATTTTGTGGGGGTGGAGTGGGAAGGGATCATGCTTCGTGAAATAGCCAGAAAGAAAAGGAAAACGCCAAAGGTTTCACTCATAGCAGGAGCGTAAAGGACTGGGGGGTGGGGGGAGGGGGAAGAACAGCTATATACCAGAGACATTT